CCGAGTTTCGAAGCATGGAACGAAAATCAACTGCCAGAACTTGAAATTGCAAACATGGAGCCAATTTGTACGCTAAGCAATCTCAAATTAATTTCTGAAATTTTCTGCTTCCTGCAAAAGAAAGTGCATTTAACTGAAATCTAATTTTGATGAAAACTCAATATGTTATTATGTTTCCGTCAACTGTTGAATCTCTTTTCCCCATTTTCTCAAACTCATTTTTGATCTTTAAAAACGATTTTTTGACAAGCCAGGTAGAGCTCTCGAATTGTCATTAGCAAAATTCGCAACAGTTAGTCGTGATGTCATGCCAAAGGCGGAAAAAATTAGGATTTTGACATTATAAGAACATTAGAAAGTGGACTAAAACGCGCTGTTCCCAAAAATCCTTCTATTCCAAAAGAAGTAGCTTGAGCCTGACTATGGCTTTCCGTCACTTACGATACAAATGGGCTTAATTTAGCAACTTATTAAGCTGGAAATGACCCTGTCGTAGAGGGCAACGTGCATTCGATGTAGTAGCCTTTGTGGAAAATTTGATAAAGTACCATGACTGAAAGACACACGATTTCTTTTTTGTCAAGGTAGCAAAACATAAAAAGCACCCTTACACCAAAATATAGTTTAGGTCCAATGAAAAGAAAACAATACTGTCGTTATCACAAGTAAGATCATATAACAGAAAGCAAGAAGATTACAAGAAGAAGAAGAAGCAAGAATAAAGGTATGACAGTTACTGTATCATAATTAATCTATCGAGAGATAACATATGACTGCTTGGTAATTACACGTTAGCCCCATCGGTGGAATTGAGAGGGCCATGGGTTTTGCAGTTAAATGTCCTCAGTTAACCTTGAAGCGACTTTATTCCTTAAAATGCACCCTTAAGTCTAAGTTGAAAATTGGCCAGAGAGGTGAGCGACCGAATCCATCAAATGACCGGTTGCACGACAAATTCACTGCTTCTAATATTCCGTGATGTAATTTTTTGCAAAATAACTGATGAGTTTAAAATTGCACAGTCGAGTCACATCCAGCTTTCTGATTTTCTCTACAATCCATTTACTCAAAACTTGATGAGTCGCGTGCTTCTGAAACAGGAATTTTTTAGGCAAGGAGAATAAGTGATGTACTGGGAATAATACGGACTCAAGAGTTATGACTGAAAAGAGTGAATTTGTATGTAGATGATCTTGTGATCTTGTTATTGCCTTGTTAAACTCTTAATGAACGTTCGCAACTTTTCTGCATCCTATATTCTAGTGGATATATCACTCATGTCAATTTCTCAACACAGTTCCATAATGTGTCATTACCCCAGCAATTTCTCACTATTCTCTTACCGCTGGGTTGATTCATGATATATAATATTCTGCAGTTAAAAATATACACGCCAATTAAAAAAGTTTACCTCGTGAAGCTTTCGGAAAAGTGATGTCAGAGGAAGTTATTTACTTAGATGGCCAGTCTTCACTCGTCGTGCAGGCCCCAGCATTGTTTCCATCTTTTTCTGCCTCTCGTTAGCGTCGTCCGCGATGTTGGTATTGGACTGACGACGTTCCGAGGTCCAGGTCCATTATCGTTACCAGCTGAGAATTTAGCTGGTCCGTCCATGCAACGAACACGTCAGCCGTTTCGGTCGGTGGCCTTCCTCCTTCGAGGACGTTTTGTTTCGCGAGAGATCCAATCCAGACTTGGTGTCTATCTGTCGTTGTCCTTCTCATTATATGATCAGCCCATTGATGTTTTGCCTTAGAGAAGTACCCCATCTCAGAACTGCGAAGAAGACGTTGATCTCTATCTGATGTCCGACGAGATGTTGTGTGCGTCAGGTGAGGTGCATTAGTGTCGTTCGCGCTATTTGAGTTGTTCGGAGGGCCTTCGACTTAGCCACAGTGTCAGGCAACGTCACTGCTGCGTAGCAGAGCGCAGAAAAGAGTGGAAACGAACAAGCGAGCATAGAGCTCCAAGTCCCTCAGCTGGCCTGTGGCTTCCTTTAGGGGCCGCAACCCAAGCTACTCTTCACTTTCTGTTTGATTCTTGAGATCGTTCTCCATAACCATCAACTCCCGAGACATACGTAAGAAGAAGTCTCGCGATTGGAGAGCCTTCTAAATCCATTTCCTGATCCTCGCATAAAGCGTTCTTCATGAACTGAGTTTTCTTCCGGTTGATTCGCAGTCCTATCTTTCCTACTTAGTTTATTTCTTTCAACGTCGTCTCCGCTTCAGTGATATTCCTCGAAAAGAGAACGATGTCCTCCGCAAAACGAACCTTCGTTTTGCGGAGGGCATCGTTCTCTTCTCTTTTTTCTCTTCCATCAATTCGTATACCTCTCTCGTTCCAATCCAATGATTTCATTACACTGCAAGGTGATGGTAGACAGCTTTGGCGACACGGAGTCGCTTTTTCGAACCCCCATTCAATTTTGTATATCAAGAGAGCGATGAAGCTGTACTATTCTGGAGTAATTATTGTAGCAGTCGACCAATGTCCTCACGTAAGATGGCCACCCACTGATCGACGAGCATTGACATTATGGTTAGTCTCGACGCTGTCAAACGCTTTCTCATATTGACAGGTTAGGACGAAAAATGCGTGGTACTCTCGGCAAACCTCGGTATTCGAAACTGTCTGGATGTGATCCACGCACTGAATTCCTTGCGAAATCCAGCTTATTCGACAGGTTGCGCTTCACCCATTGTCCTTGATATGCGAGTGAGAATAATCTTCGTTAGGAGCTTGTAAAGCACGCTCAGCTGTTATTATGGTAGCTCACAAGATCCTCTTTATCGCTCTTATCAAGGAGGACTGTTTGGGAGTTTTACTGGTTGGGAACCCTTCCCTTTCGAGGGTAAGACATTAGATTTGCTGCAAGTATCTGGAGTAGACGATGTCCTCCAGCTCGTGAAAGTCGGCCGAGACATGGTTCGGTCCCGGAGCCGTGGCTGCCTTCATGGTCTGAATTGCTGCGCGCACGTCAGCAAATAGAATCTGTGGTGGCATTCCAGTGAAGATGGTGGGGTCACGGGTGTTGATGAGCGGAAGAGATGTAGACTCTCTTCGTGATTGATTTCATCTCTTGTCCGGCAGATGTGCGAGTCCCATCTTCATTTAATAATATTGTCAGCGAAACACGATAGTTGAGAAGGTCCCTGCGGCACTTTTTTAGACTTCTATATGCTGCTTTTAAAACGATTGCCTGTCTTCCGAAGCCCTTATTGCAATCTGCCCTGCAAGGTATTGGCTACCAGTTTGTGGTAAGGAGCTCCTCCAATCTGACGCCGTCAGATACGACTTTTCTCCTTCCTCCAACACGGTGACAGATCTTCGTTTCCTGCTTTCGGGTGCATCGCACTTTTGCTCGAAGGAGGCGGTGATCTGAACCACTGCTGAAAGATTGTCGCTAAATTGCGACTCAATCAACACTCAATTTCGCTTATTATTATATGTATATTATTGTCGTTATTGATTGCAAGCTATACGAACTTAACAGTTCGTAGCGTTCTCTTCTATCAGTAGAATGCGCAGATGTGTTCAACAGATGGGAATGCTCTATACTTTTTTCGCCACAGCTGCAGCTTGACAGCAGCTGACAATGTACTGTCGGGGAGTTGCCTGCCTACACAGCTTTCACTCAAGTACTTTAACAGGAATCTCGCGTATTTGTGCCTCATCCGATCTGATACATCATACCTATTTGTACTTTGGATGTCATTTTAGCATTTATTTTGTTATTTCTTACGCTTGTTACGTTGTTGATTATTTTCTCAATATAAAGGTTTATTACCCAAGTTTGAGATTACTTTGGACTCGTCATCGTGTTTATCCGCGTGGCGTGGTTTCTACCATTTGGCGAGCA